TAGTGTCCGCCCCCCCTTGCCCTCACACTCTGTGCGGGAGAGCAGCGACGAGTCCACGCTGGTCCAGTGGGAGGAGCTCCAGGTGGGGTCCTAATTTAGCTGGCCCAGAGGTGCTAGCCAGCTAAATTAAGATCTCACCTGGTGTTCCTCCCACCGGACCAGCGCTGACTCGCTGCTGCTCTCCGGCACTGAACGGAAGAGGAGCGTCGTGTCACTGCTGCTCCGAAATTAGGACCCCACCTGGAGCGTCGCCCACCGGAGCAGCAGTGACGCGATGCTCAGCGAGGTAAGAAAGAAAAAAACAAAACAGCGCAAGCTTCGGCGCTATGCATCGGGGCATTTTGACAAGTACTTGTCAAAATGCCCTGTATCGGGCCCGATTCCCATGCTAGCATCGGTATCGGGACATCCCTAATACATTGTTTTGGATTTGTTGGCATTTTGATGCTGAAGCTAATGGAGAGAGCAGTAACCTCAACGATAGCGGTTTGATTTTAAAACTGAACTCCAGGAATACATGTAAAACCATCAATAATGCAGTTGCATTTAAAAATACATTTTAGGATTTTTAAATTGCAACTAGTGTAAGCATCTGAATAGGACTTTGAACTAGCACTTGTAATCCCTCTACACAACAGCACTCAGGCCCTGTTCACACCTAGGCAGTTTGTTGTGCGTAATTGTCTGCACTGGAACGCTCAAGACAAATCACATTTATTTGTATCGCTCCCGCTCCCACCTGAGCATAATGTCTCGCGTAGAAAAACGCCTGTCCCTGTCGCTGAAAAAGTACATGAGCTTTTTTTTGGCAGATCAGCGCAATTTGTCCCCATAGACTCAATTGGAAACACGCAACACAATTATTTTGTGTACGTTTGCATGGGTTTTCCCATTTACGTCAATATGTCAATCTGCTCACAAAAACGCACAACTTGACAGACGCGTGTAAACCGCGTGCAAGCAAAACCGCATTCAGATATGCCCAAAACCGCTGCCACCTAGGTGTGAACGTGGCATCGAACTGGAAGAGACGGGGAGCTCTAGGAGCCAGTTAGGTGAAGTGCTTGCACATGTGCTAACAGTGTATGCTGATAGGACAGAGCAGAGATGACCTCATAAATCTGTTCAGTGACGGGTGATGTGGGTTGACCTAGCTGTATTGCACAACTGCAGTTGGGGAAACGTCAGGTCACCAACCTGTATGGGCTGCATATATCTCAGCTGAAATGCTTCCCAAGGATTGGTATTCCTGTCCATCTAGTCCTGGGTATTTAGCTGATTGCTGGGAGTTCAGTTGGGTTCATGCACACTGGCCTCCTGTGTTAAACACAGAAGTTATCCCTGCAATATAAACATTTTTTAGGGCTAGTTCACACCAAGCGCGGAGCAGATCCAAAGCAGGTGCAGACCGGATCAAAACTGCGTCCAATGTATTCCTATGGTATTTTGAGCTCCAGTGCACATTGCAGCGTGCAGATCCAGAGCAGGCAAAAAAAATGCAGCAGGCCCTATTTTACCTGCTCTGGATCTGCAAACGCAACAAAAACGCATGCAAATGCCTGGAACGCACTGAAAGCCCATGTTTTTTAACCAAAAACGCATCTAAAAGACTAGCTTGCGTGTGCAGAAACCTGACCGCATCTGCTCTGCATTTGGTGAGAACAAGGCCTTATGCTTCGCATCACTTTTTCCTGTGTTTAGGTGTTCCTGAGTTTTAGTCGCGTTTAGCCACGTTTACATGTGTTTAGGCCTGTTTAGCTGTGTAAAATCAGGCTAAACGCTCCCATGATGCAGAAAATTCTCATAAGTGTAAACGCAGCTAAACCGAATGCACCTCAACACTGCTAAACATCCAGGTGCATTCATCCATAGCAAAGCATTACATGCGTCCAGGTGTGTTTAGAAATGAGCCCCAAATGCATCTGAAAGTATTCATTCCCATGTGCATGAGGCCTTAGTCTTCAATATTGCAAACTGGGTCTGTATTTGTTTTAAAAAAATAAAATCTTTAGATTTTTTTTTTTAGGATGTTTTGAAGTTTATTACCAACTGATTTATGCAAATTATACTCTACTGTGCATAGAAATGTGATTTATTTTTTAATATGGACCTATTGTGCTGTGTAGGGTTGTTCAGTAAATTATTGCAGCACTGGGGTATTCCGTTCAAATCCCGGCCAGGACACTATCTGCATAGTTTGCATGTTCTCCCTGTGCTTGCTTGGGTTTCCTCCCACTCCAGTGATATGCTGATGAACTCTGATCAGGATTGTGTGTGTCTATGCAATAGAGACATTACAGTGTAAACTCAAGGGACCAGATGTGAGTGTGCAGTATGTAGAGCGCTGTGTAAATTGTGTGCGTTCTATAGATGCCTGTAATATTAAAAGTAGTTGCTGTGCATATTAAAGCGCACAGTAAAACAAACTAATGTGTCAAGCTTGCTGCTGCTCACCACTCCCCTAAAGCTTTTACACCCCCTCACCCCACTTTCCAGCCAGACAGTGAAGAGGAAATTACTTCATTCTGCTGGAGGGGGGAGCAAGCCCCCAGCCTTTTCAAACACTTACAGGGGGCTGCGAAAGGGCGGAGGAGATTTGGTCTGATTTACTGCTTCCTGAGTGGCTTTTAACTCCTTCAGTTCCTGCCTGTAATCTAGGGATGGTTGTTTTTCCAGGAACCTCATGTTTATAGTAACATAAACTCTTGAGACACATGCTTTAAAAATATGCTTGTCGCAAAGTATACCATTCTGGTTTAGTAACTGTTGTGGTTTTGTTTTGCAATGGTTGCTACAGATTTGCAGACCAGAATCTGCCCAGTACACAAATATTTTGGTGTCTCTGCGAACCATTCCTACCAGTGTAACGTGATTAGCTTGGGGGGGGGGGGGGGGGGGGGTAACAACCATTAAGCGGTCAGCGAGAGCGTACGGCTCAGCGGTCAGCAGTTTTAGGCAGAAATAACAGGGACTTACAGTGCACATGGCTGGTGTGCCCTTTTCTTCTCCTGGTGTGTGTGGGGGGGGGGGGGGGAGATTTTCAAAACCTTCTGCTGTGGTTATTTTTTTTCCTTTTAGATTGGTCGCCACTATTTTATGTTTATTTCTCTGGCTTGTTTGCGTTTTGATCATGTCTTATAGTTGGAATAGGCGAGTGACGTCTCGTTTACCTTTTTAACAAAGGGTTAATATGGCTCCAGTGAAATCTGAGCCTCTAGTCTGGGAAAAGCGCTGGGGATCTCTTGGGAGGGGGAGTGGAATTCCTCAGTGCTTTATACATGCATCACTGTATGGGATAGAGGGCATTCTTATGGTTTTTTCTTTTTTTCAAGTTGTGTCTTATGTACATATCGGTTTTTAGATTTGTTTTGTATCGAAATGTGTACGCAACCAACGGCCCCTATTTCCATATAGCGTACAAGTGATCAGTTGTCTGCGGTGACGGATTATTATTTTTTCACCTCTGGCTATGCCTGTGCCATCTGCTGGTTTACATGGAATATTTCAGCGCAGGCACGCTTTTGTGACATCAAACGCAATATTTAACCGTTATTGAGTGCAGAAGGACATTGCCTGAACAAGACATTCTGGCTACTCCTTGTTGATGGTGGTCTAATCATGTCAGAATTTGTCCGCTCCCTGGATTCTGCTACCATTTCTATTTCAGTCCCTTGCCTTTTATAACAACAAGTTTACCTCCTGCCTTGATCTAACACTCATATCTTTGCCTATGTGTGACCTCTCCCTGGTAACTGATCACTTGCTTGGCTGTTGATTTTAGTCCTTTTTCTTCAGTTGTGAATTGTCACCATTGGGCCAGACTCAAGGGCTGTGATCTCAGAGTATCATGCAGCAAAACAGAAGCCTTATTGTAGTGGTCTCTCATAAAGACTATGCATCCCTTAGATTTCTCCTGGGAGAGCCCATGGCTACTACTGTTGATACAAAGGGTGCAGACCAATCCACTGCAAAATGCGAACATGATGTATTGGTATATTGTGTGTTTGCTTATTTCAGACTTGGGTTCCCTCCGTGGTCTTTTGCTTTTTAGACGCTTCTTCCTAATATCCACCTGCCCCGAGAGTTGGCACAGTGCCATGGCAGAGCAGATGGCACTGTAGTGAATTGTGCCTCTGCCCTTCCCCCATAAATAAATGGAGACATTCTGCAGAATTTTAATATACTATATGCCCTGCCCGATCATCCCTATAGTAAGAGTTTGATTACACCACTGATGCTCTTTGCTCTTATTATAAGCCATTTGAACACTTGCCCTCTGTTCCCAGCATCTGAAAACGGCCTAAAAGCACTGTGCAAGATGCCATACTTATCCTTCCAGTATTTTGGATGGCTATACACAGTCAGATTTTAGATCTACTAAATGTACTGATTAAACAGCATGATAATCTACCTCATTGGCTATAAACTGAACAGATTATTTAGGTAAACCCTCCTGCTACATTTTTGGTTGATCTGCAAAGGAATGTGCAGATATAGTATGACAGATTTTAAGACAGTTATACAGCAGTAGTTTAGTCCCATCCAGCGCGCAATCCCTATATTCAACGATTTACAAATGTGTGGCGCCAAGAATATGTTAATAAATATATCATTGCAGAACTAGTTTTGTGACTCTGTTGTATCTGACAGTGGCCGCAATCCAGTACAGCAATTGGAACCCAACTACCTTGGTTCCCAGGAAACGGGAGGTGTTCTTCTGCAGGGCAACAAGGGGAGTGTACACTGAGAGCAGACAGTGATGGGGCTTACTGAGGGTATATATGATTTTTTAAAACCCAAACCAATTGATGGGGGAAAAAATGCTTTTTCCTTTTAAAGCCATATTTCCACAAGGAAATACTGATGAAATATGATGCACCAGACCAATTATTTGTCTTTGTAATAATATGAGATAAGTGTTAAGTTATATACTGTACTTTTTGTATTGTAAAATGTCTTCTTTAATCTGTTATCCTTTTGAATATAATGGGATTATACAGGTTTACCCAGCCAACTCAGGTGAAGAATATAGTGGAGACCGTGGAAGTTATACCTCTAAACCACCTAATTCTCTTTACCCTGGGGGATTCTACATGGGCGGTGAGTATATGCCACTTAAATTGCAACCAAACCATTAGTCACCTATTATTTTCCTAGTATATGTTGGAAAATTTGTTGGATTATGTAGTCTTACTCTTTTGCATTCCTGTACCTTCCCCTTATTGCTCCTAGAGTTATTTTCAAAGAAAACCTGTCATTAGATAAATGTGAAGGCTTCCATTGCTGATCTCTTCTAAAAATGCTTGCTAGATGCTTGGTTGCCACGCGGATGCTTTTAAAGTGGATCTTTTACTAAAAAAACAAGGTTAACCTGTTACTTCAAGGACCCCAGACCCATATTAAATCAGTGCATTAAAGTGAAAAAAGTGTGCTTCCAAAAGTGTGATTTCAGGATCTTACCAGCATGATTGCAACATCACCCTCTGCTGTGGGAAGAAGCCAGGGGTTACTATATTTACCTACTCCCCCCCCCTCCTCCCCCCAAACCAAAATCTTTTTATAATTTTAATGCAGCCATTTAATCCGAGGATGGGGCCCTGATGAAAAAGTGGATTTGTGTACTAATGCTCTGTCCATGCAAGGCATAGCAACAGGTTTGCTTAACTGCAATGTATTTTTGTGTTCCATGATGTAGATTAAGACCCCTTCATGTAAAAAGAGAAAAAATATAATTTTGGAGATTTTTCTTCTTCCAAAGATAATACAATTGAACATGCGCAGTTTAATAGAAATAATCGTAAAGGAGAATTATGAGGCGAGTGATTTTCACTCCGCCTCATAATCTGAGCCGACCCGTGACAATGAAACTGTCACAGGTCGGCTCAGTAGATTGGGAAGTGAGCGAACGCATACCGTCGCTCGCTCACTTCTCGATCTATCCGTGCAGGGAGCAGTGACTGTCACAGCTCCCTGCAGCTGTACCGCCCCCTCCCCCGCGGAACAGACGGGGAAGGGGGCGGTACAGCTGGTTCTGCCTCTAGATAGGCAAAGCCAGCTGTCACTCACGCAGCTGGGTGGATCCAGACAGAATTGTCGGGATCCGTTCCGGCTGCGGCGTCTCGGTATACCGCGAGCTGCAACTCGCGGTATACTGAGCTTTGGGTGACCATAGGACTCTAGTTTGTGTCCTCCCGTTACACTTAGGAGAACTATGGGGAAAATCCCTGACCCCATAGTTCTCCTTTTAACCTTCCTGGCAGTAATCTAGAGTGTGGGTCGGGG